AAGAGGCCCGGGTTTTTTTTTGGGGGGGGGGGTGGTTTTGTTTCTTTTTTCCGGCCTGCTCAGCCTTGGAGGTCCGTTCAGCGCGGAAGCACGTGTTTTAGTGACTCTGGTTTTTGATATTGTTGTAGCCAGTGGGCTCTATAGGTTTTTATTGAAGGCCGCTGATATATCTGTACATTTGGAAAAAATGAAAATTATGGAAAGTAAGTGTCAAAAAAAATGAACGCTTAACTCATGCACCAAGAAAATAATTTTTGACTTACTATTTTCTAAACTAGTCGCACATCTAAATAGAACTCATGATAGGGAAGAGGTAAACTTTAGAACAATATTGGGTTGAATTCTGATCCTATTGCTTCTAGTTGCATTCCTGTTGATTCTAGTCCTAACTGTAAGGAAGTTATTTAACTTTGCTTAAAAACTATACCCAGTGTGTGTTAAGCATTTAAATATAGCAAAAATTCTGTTGATACCTATTGATAGTTTTAATAATTCAAATTTTCTAATGTCATTGAAACATTGAATCCCTTTCCCCAGCATTTGTCTTCTATCCAGATTAAAAGCAGTTTAAGTAAAATGGCGTATTTTAACATGATAAATTGATGGCATTTTAGTTGCTTAATTATGATGACCTGAAGGATCTCAAGGCTCTCTAACAATAATATTAAATAGAACAAAACTTATGTGCTATGAGTAACATTACTTGGTGTGGTAAGATTGTTGAAAACATTCAAAAGGTATAGAAAAAATTTTGCTGTGTTGGTCGCTTGCAAAATGTGCTTTTGACAGTAATGACATCACACCCAAATGTTTGAGGTAGTTCTTAGAGAACATTTCAACTCAGTGACAGACATATAAATAGAATGTTATTTCTAGTATGAGAATTATTTCTCTAGAAAATGTTTTCAAAAGTATTTTCAGTGCTTATTGGTATCATAAAGAATATTCTTGGGGGAGGGGGACAGCCTTAAAGTTGGAATGCTTCAGTTTACTGTCCATTTCATGCTTAACATCTTAATTTCATTTAAGCATAACACCTAGAACCTAGTCAACTTTTGTAAAAGAACTTCACATGGCATTATAGCACTTAACATGTTTTTAAAAGCCTAAATACTAGTGTATATTTATAGTTGGTGCCTTTACTTTCCATCTTTCCTCTTTAAGGGCATTTGTTCAAGATCCATGTAACCCTTTATTTATTTTTTTTATTTATTTCATTTTGGATTTTGTATCTCTTCTGATACTTAACACATTTTTGGTGTTTTGTCTTTATTTCTATACTGCTGGGGTTACTTTGACTTTTTCTTGAATTCTGGTGCCTCATCAGTAATTGTTGATATGGAATCAAATTTGACTTAAATTTTGGAAGGGGTTTTATTAATGATAAATGTTAATATGAGGCTACTGACACACAGATATCTAAGTTACTTTACCACAATGTAACTAATTAACTGAAAGACTGGAGTTTCTCTTCCTGTACTTGTCACCTCAAATCTTGTATTTCCATCCAAGTTATAAGAATAACATGACTGAGTTGGTTTTGAAACTTCAGTATCCAGATATATAAAGTAGACATATTTCAAAGTTACAGATTTAAAATATATCTGAAAAAAATGTATCTTGCTTTATTTTCAGATGTGGAAATGTAAACTTCGCCAGAAGAACCAGCTGTAATAGATGTGGTCGGGGTAAGCATTTAAGGAACAGGTCAAGATTATGTATAGATGATTTTTTATTTCTCCAGACTCATACTGCATTTTTCTATTTACAGAGAAAACAACTGAGGCTAAAATGATGAAAGCTGGGGGCACTGAAATAGGAAAGACACTTGCAGAAAAGAGTCGAGGCCTATTTAGTGCTAATGACTGGCAGTGTAAAACGTATGTGTTTCAAATAATTGTTCATTCTTCCATAATAATATATCTAGCCACTACTTGTTAATATTACCCATTTTTTTTCAGGTAGTTACATTGACAAAGAGGTGATTCTTTAAATTAAATCTGATATATAACATAATTTTTTTATAATGGTAATAATAGTTGTTACTGTGATGGATCCTGTATCCCCATAAACAACTGCTTATGGTACACTAACAGCCCCTGACAGAGGATAGTGGATTCTTTAAAGGCCACTGACATATGTTTTCTGTGTGTTTTCTAAAACTCTTCAAAGACTTTACTGCTATCATTTATGTGAATTGTACCATAAAATTCTTTTTGCCTGTCTTTCCTATTACCCCATATTTCTGCTCATAGGTGAATCTGTTATACAGAAGAGAGTCTTTTTTAAATTGCTAATACTATAGATACTAATGTGATTAACCTAGAATTTTCCCTGGGTTTTATAAGCTACAGAATTCAGTGCCCAAAATGATCCTCAAGAATTAACATTTGGAGGATATGTTGTTACTCTCCTTTGAGATGAATTTGGAGACTGAGAAATTAGTAGCATCTTTGTTTACAATGATGTATTTTCCCCTAAGATAGCAAAATTTCTGTAGATGATGTCATGTTTTCATAAAATAACAGATATACCATATGTCTGTTCATATCATATAGCTCTTGTTTTTCTGCTTAAATAGTCCAGTCTGTTGGACCTACTTTCTCATCATACAATATTTGTATTCTTTAGCAAGTATTTCTTTGTGATATAATTTCATTCTAGTTTTCGCCTCCAAGTTAGAATGTCTTTTTTTTTTATTCATACAGAACGGGGGTACAGGCCACAGTGGAAGGGCAGTGAGAGGACTCACCAAAGTCAGAATGGGGAGCAAAACAGACAGTATGATGTATACAGTGCTGAGGGGAGAAATGGTTTAGTCAGGAGAGGTCTGCTGTGCTATGTGGATCACCAATGGGACTTGGGGTTGGACTTGGGATTGAACTTGCACTCAAGCAACTGAGCCATCTTGCAGTGCTGCATCCTAACCCGTTGTACCACCAAGAAGGGCCCATTAGAGTATCTAAATATTTATTTGCTGGGGGTTTTTTGGTTGTTGTTTTGGTTTCTTGGAATATAGTTTATTAATTTGATATTTTTCACTTCTAAAGTTGCAGTAATGTGAATTGGGCCAGAAGATCAGAATGTAACATGTGTAATACTCCTAAATATGCTAAGTTAGAAGAAAGAACAGGTAAGATACAATCACATTCTAAGTAACTGATTTTAGGAAAACTAAGAAGTTAACTGCTGATAATATCTGTCATCTTCTTGAGTTTCTCAAGACCCAACACCTAAGCTTTCTTTTCTTTCCTCTGTATTTTTTAGGCTATTTTTCTCCCTAAACACTAATATTAAGTGTAACCCCTTGACACATTGTGAGGCACAAGTTTAGGTTGAAGCTGAAGCTACTGCTTTAACCCATATGTCTAGTTGCCTGTTTAAAATGTAAATGTCAAACTCGTTATATCAAAACTGAAATTGCTGTAAGATCTGGCTGCCCTCCTGGTTGTTACCACCAACCATCAGCTTCTTTCTTAAACCTGAAATCTGGATTAAGGTTTTCTGTATGACTGCTGCTGCCTCTCTCCTCTACCCTCAGAAACGTTTTTTTCTGTCTCATCATGGCAAAATTGTTATATCTTCTCTTGGAAAAATAGCCATCTATTTGGAGTCTATACATATTCCTCTCATGCCCAGTTAGAACCAGAGTTCTTTTTTATTTTTTATTCAAATTTCAGATTTTTTGAAACCATTTTGATTTTTAGGATGAAGTCAAAAGTTTTTTAGTAATTATGACTTCATTAACCAAAATTTCACTCTCATAAGACAAGAACTGGAGTCGTTCAAATTTATGTTTGATTCCTTATTTTATTCATTATCTTTTTTTCTATCTTTCTGTATATTGACCTTATTCCATGTTCCTCGCTATAAATAGCTGATTGGTGTTGAAGTTGTCAATAAGGCAGTTGTAAGGTTCAAAGGAGCTATTCTTAAGGATGGGACTAACGGGGTAAAAGAAACTTGCACTACCTCTGAAAAGTTGCTTGCTTACTTCTGTGCAATTACATTAAATGATGGTATAATTTAACTATCCAGGCTCCTGTTTTAGGATTTTGGGGCTATTTCTACTGGTTTAACCTTTAACGATAACTGCAGTAGATACATTGTGATACTTATTTTTGCAAATTACTTTCTCAATATATCAGAATTTGGATTGTCAAAATACCAGAATTGTAATTTAGACTTATTTGAAACCTTTATTTGATGCTTTACTGACTCTTACCTTTTTATACTTTATTGTGAGACAAACTTGAGAATATAGTCATTGTAACATTTTCCAAACATACAAGGGTTCTTGGTTGCTTGTTTCATCTAAACTGAATTTAAAGATTAATAAAGTCCTTGAGAGAGCAGTGTTAAAATCAAAAAGTGAAATATGAGTTACCTGTTGAACAAGTTGCAGGGGCAGATAGCTTGTATGCAGGCTCTGAGACTAGAAAAGAATTTGTCAGATTCACTGAACTCTACCTAGCTCTGGAAAAGACATCAGAATTAGGCAAAGGCTGTATAAATCATAGTGAAGAGATTATAAGAATTATAATAAAGATAATGGGAAGTAGATGAAGGATTTTTGACAAGGCAGTAATATGTCAAATTGTCTTTTAATACTGCTGGTTGTTGACAAAGACTAAGGAGGGTAGCAAACATGGAAGCAGGAGCACCAGTTTTTACAATATTACCTGAAGAATTTTAAACCAATAAAATAAAGGACAGATACATACCATGGCTTTGATTCCTCATACTCGCCTTTTAGGAAGATAAGTTCTCGTTTTTTCATGGCAGTGAACTACTGTATTTCCTACATTTGTTATGGATTCATACCACATAACCTTACTTAGATGTTAGTAGTTTTAGATTTTTTTTCTTGTGACATATATGAGAGCTCACATAAACAGTTTTTATTTGCAATAATTGAACCTTACACACTTACAGAAAATTACCTATGTGAGTTAGTTTAACTTTTTCAATCTTACTACAACTTATTCTTTAGCTCTCCATATGTGCTGCGTCTTTTTTATTTATAGTTTTAAACGAACAAAGAACTCTACAAAAGCGCAGTTAGGTTTTTTCTATTTTTAAAATTTTTCTTGAGGTATAATTGACATATAGTTTCATGTATGTAGTGCAATGACTCACTATATATATTGCAAAATAATTACCACAGTAAGTTGCCAATGTCCACCACCCACATAGATAGAAAATTGGTCTTCCCTTGATAGGAAAACATTAAGATCTTTTACTAGCTATTTTCAAATATGCAGTGCAGTATTATTAACTTCAGTTGATATAATATTATATACTTGACCTGTAGCTGAGTTTTGTACATTTGGCCTGACTCTTCACCCATTATTGCCCTCCAGTGTTACCCTGTGTGCTCCCTATCTCTACTACCAATCTGTTCTTTGTATGTACTAGCTTTTTTTTTTGCTTGCGTATGTAACAGATCTTATAGTATTTGACTTTGTCAGACTTATTTCACTTAATAATGCCCTCAGGGTCTATCCATATTGTTGCAAATAGTACATTTTCCTTCTTTGTGGCTGAATAATAATCGATTCATTGCTTATGATTGTGAAATTGTTCTCGAGTGGCTTTTTATTTTAATATGCTTTTTGAAAAACTAACAATATGCTAGATGGATAATGCAGCTGTCATTGATAAAATTTTCTTTTTCTCCATTGTCTGAAGGTGTTTTGAATATGTTTTTGTTAATGTGATTATTGAGTTAGGATAACAATTTATGCCTCCCTTTTTTTAGGGTATGGTGGTGGTTTTAATGAAAGAGAAAATGTTGAATATATAGAAAGAGAAGAATCTGATGGTGAATATGACGAGGTAAGCAATGTATTAGTGTGCAGGCTGAGTTATTAAATGCAAAAGAAAATTTTTTGATGTAACTTATTTCTGTAAATACAATTTGAGTCCTTCAGTTTCTGTTTTGTAAGAAATCATAATTAATTGAATATATATTGATTGAAATATATAAAAGGAATTTCTTAGGAAAAGCTGACAGAGCTATAATGAAACTTTCTCTCTAGTTTGGACGTAAAAAGAAAAAATACAGAGGGAAGGCAGTTGGTCCTGCATCTATTTTAAAGGAAGTTGAAGACAAAGAATCTGAGGGAGAAGAAGAGGATGAGGATGAAGATCTTTCCAAATATAAGTTAGATGAGGTAAATAATTTCTTCTCTAATTTCCCCTTTGCCTTATCTCACATCTCATACCATATGTTATTTATCACACTATAAGTGTTTTGACAAAATATAGCCCTTAGGATTGATAAATTGTTATATATTAGTTCTCATTAAGGCTTTGAACTCTTGCTTTAAGTACAATTCTTCCTCTGGAGCAACAGTAGTGAATGAGACATAACAACTTTCATCTTAGCAGAACTTAAATTCTAGAGGGGAAAAGACAAATGAAGATAATTTAGATAGCAGTACAGTTATAAAGACACATGATGTAATAACATCGTTTAGCTAAATGAAGCTTTTAAGAAATTAATGAGGTATACTTATGTGTCTGGCCTGTGTTTCATGGTGATATTAATCAATTTATTAGTGGTCAGTTCACTGAGGTAATTAGAAGACGATGGATTTCCAGGTAGGGAGATTACCTAAAGTTTAATATAGCAAAGGAAAGCATAAAGGTTTCAACTAAGTCTGAGAAAAGTGGATTCAGGGACTTGAAAGGGGGTTAGTTTTGGAGAATTCTCCACAATTTATTTGCCGAAATGAATATGACTTTAAGGTTTATGTCTTGAAATGTCTGGGACAACTGTCAGGTTTCTTTAGCTGAGAAAAAGTAGTACATAGATTTCAAGATTGAGAATGAATTTACTGAGCTGTAAGTGGTATCATATATCCCTGTGGAGATAACCAGTACACAGAATGACTTATCTTTTCTAGTAGATACATGATATCTTTGTCTAAATGTAATTGACTGAATTTTTGTTAGGATGAGGATGAAGATGATGCTGATCTATCAAAATATAATCTTGATGCCAGTGAAGAAGAAGATAGTAATAAAAAGAAATCTAATAGACGAAGTCGTTCAAAATCTCGATCTTCACATTCACGATCTTCATCAAGCTTATCCTCCCCCTCAAGTTCAAGGTCTAGGTCCAGGTAAACGGGTACAGGTCAAGGGTAACACCAGTCAAAATGTCAGTATCTAACTTCTTTATTTATAAATTTTGTTTTTCTTGACTTATCTGAGCTTTCCTTTTTATTTTAAAGATTTCATTTGAGTTGACTTTTAAAATACAATTTTTCTACCTTAGTGATATGAAGTTGTCCATTGTTTTCAAAATTATGTAATGTAAATGTGACCAAAGTTCATTTTAGCACCAGGTCTTTTAAAATAGGAATAAAAGTTAATCATTACATATACAGAATTATAATTTTTAAGTTCACTGTAGTTTAGATTTTAAGTGAGTGAAATGAAAAATTTTGTTTTCACTGGTCATAAAGGCAAGTACAGAAATTTATTAGACATTAGATGGCTATTACAGTGTTTTAATTATAAACTTTGGCATAGGAATTCTGGATAAAGGCACATAATCAGCCATATTCTGTTGGCTTAGTACTTTATAATTTTGAGATGTTCAGGAATAAGGTTTTAATTGATGTTGTATTTGAACATTATTTTGATAATAATGTAAAATATTTAGATATGTTCTGATTATTGTATTCAACAGTAAAAGTAAGGTTTTACTGCCATAATATTCCCTTGAAGAATTCCTATTTGGAGTTGTGAAATGGGCAATAAATTTGGTATAAAATATTTTTGAGTTTTAAATTAGATTATTTATTGAGTATTATAAAACCTGACAAACTTAAAAGAAAAAGATAGTAATTTTAAAATGAAATGTGATAATCCTTTTCTATGGGCTATTTATGAATAAATTAAAAGTGTAGATTAGATTAATGGATTTTATATTTCATTGGTAATTTTTAGAATTCAAACCACCATATCTCCTTTTCATATATTTCCAGTAATAATAATTATGTAAATCAGTAAACAATTGTGGTTTTATTTTTCCTTTGTGTAAGCTTCGAGTGTCAGTAAAAATAAAGGCTTAACCAGATGCATTCCAATACTTAAAGTTTCCTGCTACGCCGGAGACACAAGAAATGGAGATTTTATAAGAGATATTGATAAAGACATTTCAAAGAAGTTAAATATAAACTGCAATGTTAAATATTCCTGGATGTCTAAATCCTAGGTGACTTATAACTGAACTTAAGTATTCACTCTTGAAAAACTGATAATGTCGAGTGGTTTTGTTTGTACAATTTTGAGTGACTTTTAGAATAACTTAGACAAACTTATAAAAATGATAGTTGATTACTTTTTTAGTTATTATCTTCAATTTTAGCATAAGTATTAAAATAGAATTATAAAGTATTTTTAACCTTAAAAATACTGTCTTGAAAATGTATCTCTAAGTAATCTTTTTTTAACATGGAAATAAACTCTTAATGCTCATCTTTCTTTCAGTGTTCATATCTCAAAGTTCAGTTAAGTTGTCCTGGAAAAAAAATTCCTTCCATGTTGTTCCAGGTCCCGTTCAAGAAGTTCTTCCAGTTCGCAGTCAAGATCTCGTTCCAGTTCCAGAGAACATTCGAGATCTCGTGGGTCGAAATCAAGGTGAATGAGGTAGCATCTCTCTGTAAAGCAGAGAGGAAAAAAAAAAAGGCTGCAGAAGGTGTTGTTGCTTTTTTCCCTCTTATTTTGCTTCTACTTGTCAATTTTATTTTAGCATTAGAAAACTAATGCACTTGCCATCAGCTTAATTTTCTCACTGTGAGATGATGTTTCCATTGCCAGCAGTGTGCCAAGACATTCCCATGATTGAATTAGGGTGGTTGCTTTTTGAATTACACAAGGTTTGTTACTTCTGTGCTAAAATGTGATGAGGTGGGAAGATGGAGCCAGTTCTCATCAATCTCTAGTACATTAAAGTTATGTGTGTGGTGGTATTTAAATAAAATTAAGAGACATGAAATAAAAAGTAAAGATTTACTTCATTTTTAAAAGGCAAAAAATAAACCTGCCTCCACACAGACTATTTTTGCAAGGCAGTTGTTTCATTACTAACAATTTTGGGTTATATCAGATTAGTTTCTGGAAGAGTTTATGCATCTTTCCATTTTTCCTAACAACCCACAGAATATGAACAGTATATGTTAGATACTATTCTTAAATCCCACAGACTAGACTATGGCTAGTCTAGCTAGATACGATGTGATCTTAAGTGTAAATTTTATTTCATTTAGTCAGTTCTATAGAGGGAAGCATAATGGAAAGAAACAAAACTCTTAAATTCTACTCCTGTGACTTTTTTTTAAATAATAGTTTATTTTCACATCATTTTGTGCCTTTTTCCATCTCAGTTGTAATCCCTGTGGGCTTCCCATCACCAAATTAAATATACTACCTTTTTAAAGCTAGTTTGAAAATCTATTGTAGGCAACATGGATTTAAAAAAAAAAAAACTAAAATTCTGCTTTCGTAGAATTTTATACGTAAGGGTTTGTAATAACTCTTACAAAAATTAAACAGTCTGTAGCATTCGAGGGCTACTACACTTTGCCATTTGGGAATAAAGAGTAATATTGCACTTACTAAGTTAATACCAAATTGAATAAATGACTTTATTGTTATTATGTATTATCAGTGCCTTAGTTCTTTTATTTGAGTGCTTCTTAGGAAGATCCTTAAGTCCCAGTTCCCTTTGGGAAGTACTATAAGGTTTACAGAGCAGCCTTCATACTCTTCCCATTTTTTTGATTGCTTATAACTTTCCAAAGAATTCTCCTTTTGGGCTTTCTTGATTTTATTTCAAGCCCAAAGGTGAATTTTTTGGGAAGTTTGAGCTAAATTGCTTCAGCCAAAATATGTAAATGAAGAAAAAAATTTGCACTTAAGCATTTGCAGTTACTTCTACCTGAAACATGTGAATGTCAACACTTCATATTTCATGACTAGTGATCCTTCATAAAAAGAAGTACTGTTACTATAAAGCAAGTTTTAAAGTTACTCATTTTATTTTTCTTTGAATATTTAGCAATTTTATAGCTCTTTCTCATTCCTGTTCCCATCCTTGCTCTTTTTGATAGCAATTTAATGAGTAAATTGCATAATTCCACAAGAAATTGTTATGTTTTTCCTCAGGAAGTGGGATATTGGGATATGAGACAAATTTTTCTCTACATTTTCTAATTAAAAAAGGCATGCAAATGCAGTTGCCTGTTGGTTTGCTATTTTCATATAATACAAAATGAAACTTTAAGAAGTTTATTCAGAAAAAGAATATATAAAATTTGACTATATTAAGCTGGTACTCAGTTATAAGTGATGAGCACTTAAAATTTTAAAAAGAGCTGAAGTATTTAAATAGAGTTGTTTTCATTGTTGAACCAGAAGTCTTCTCTTGAGTAAGCAGTAAGTACTCCTTCTTACAAAATTTTCATAGCAATAAATCCTGTTTATTTTGGAGCTGTCTGTTAACTAAATTATTTGCCTTGTTTCTTCCTTTAATGAAATGTTTGATTTGTTTCTCAATCAATGAAGATCCAGCTCCAGGTCCCACAGGGGCTCTTCTTCCCCAAGAAAAAGATCTTACTCAAGCTCATCATCATCTCCTGAGAGGAACAGAAAGAGAAGTCGTTCTAGATCTTCTTCATCTGGTGATCGAAAAAAAAGACGAACAAGATCACGGTCACCCGAAAGGTTTGGGTTTCTGTAGAAATAAGAATGGGTGTTCTTATGTGTGTTTAATAGATACACTAAGCTTACTAGTGAAGGATCAGATTTTTGTTTTCTCCTTTGAACTTTAAATTGTACTTTTCAACACTGAGCTACAAAAGGCAGATCAATTGCTTTGTTTATTCTGTGTGCTTTGGTCAGGTTGTTCAGAAAAGTTATAGATCAGTCTTCCACTATCCGATCATTTTATTGTTTAAATTTTTATTTTCATAAATAATTATAGCCAACTCTCGGTTATTTCTATCTTTTAAGATTTTAATTCAGAAAATGTTGATGTGATTTAGAGGTTGACTTATGTGCTAATTATGCTATTGATTTTACATTAAAAATTAGAAGTCTGGGATTCTAGGGCATCTAACAGAAAAAATTGACTTTCAGATCATTAGGAATTGTCCTTATTTAAATATATATAAATGCATTTCCACAGCAAATTATTGTTTCATACCCTTTATAAAGAAATTGTTCTTGTAGCTAATACATTTTTCATCTTGCAGTCTGAGTCCTTTTTTTTTTTTTAAGAGAAAGACCTTTATTGTTAATATGTATTTACATTTTTTTTTTTAATTTGGAGAGTGCAAGTGTCATGTCATCCTTTTCAGCAAAAAGCTAATAATTCATTTTCATTAATTTTCTCTTGGTTCTCAATGTTTAAGCATAGTCATTTTAATGGATTATTTTGTAATCTTTGGAAATTTTCCATATCCTTTCCACTTAACTAAGTAAAAATGAGGTAAAATCTGATTGTTGCTGGTTTCAATGGTAGGGTTACCTCATGATTCCTACTTGTACAGATAATCTGTTGTTACATATGTCTTCACATTTTGTAGTTTAGGAATTAAGGTTTCACACAACTAGTCATGTATCTGTGTATTTGTTCTTTTGTAAGAAAATTATTCAATAATTCAGTTATTATTTCTGTTGCTTTTTACCACTTCTGCAAATTTTTACTTTAGCCACATATAATCCCCCTAGTTTGTTGTCATCTAAACTTAATGAACATGTTCTCTATTCCATAAGCCAGGTGATTGGTGAAAACACTAAACAACCCTGAGCCCAGGGCCAACCCCTCGGAACACCACTACTTTACCCAGGTTGATATATTGACTTACTCATACTAGCTGCATGAATATATTCCTAAACCTAACTGTACAGTCATTTTGTATGACAAATTTCCAAGCCGTAAATATTTATGATTATGTATTCTCATACACAGAAGCCTTGCTGTATCATTGTTTTACATATAGACTTCTGTACTGGAGTATATCGGAAATGAATGTAGTCACGTTTCCATTACCAAGTTTATATGGCTTTGTTGTATTTTATATGTAAATTTACACCTTTTTGCAAGGCTTTCCTTTATTACTTTAAATAATTGAGAGGTGGCTATATCTTAAAATGAGATATTTTTAATTATAGAAAATTTTTAATCACAGTTAGAACTGGGCTCACAGCCAAAGCCTAAGTTATTTTTATGTGTATGCCTTTATCTTTGATTTTAGTTATTCTTTTGCCAACATAATGATAAGTTTAATTTCTTAAATTCTCACAAGTTTTACAGAATGACTACTGATATCTTAAGTTAAGCTTATTAAATTACTGCTTTCATTATTATGTCTTCCAGGCACCACAGGTCATCTTCTGGATCATCCCATTCTGGTTCCCGTTCAAGTTTGAAAAAGAAATAATGTATTAAAATATACATCTTTAAAAAAAAAAAAAAAAGTACAGTGCATGAAGCATATTTTTTAAGAAGTTGGTGTCTTAACTTGGTCAGAAGTGCTAAATCTACTAGTAGAGGTGCATGCCTTTCATTGCTTTTCAGAACAATACAGCTGTGTTTATTTGTGAAATTAAAAGTAAATAGTATTTTAAGCCATAATGTTCCAGAATAGCGGCTCTATTTATCATTCATCTTTATAACCATTTGTTTCATTTAATACCATCTCAGCTATATAGCAAAGTAATTTGTTTACTAATTTGAACTCTTGTTTTTCTCATTTCCAAATATGAATTGTTTACTTAAGACAGGTTGTTGTTGAAAACAGTTTATGTTAATTTGGGGAAAGGTGTCAACTTCTTTATGTAAACCTATGTTTAAAGTTATTCTTAGCAGAAAATTAGTTAAAACTAGTTAAACAGTTGGTCACCTAGAAAATTATCTATATGCTGAGGGTGCCTTAGAATCATTTTTTCTCTTATCCAGTTTTACTTTTTGTACCATCACATCTAATGCAGAAAAATCTTATAATTGCAGAAGAAAAAATGTTATTTATTTCACCCTTTCTAATCCATGATTTTGAGCAAGACATTGTTAGTTCATCTTTTCTCTACTGTTAAGTTATCTGATGAGAAAAACATCATATTTTCAGATTGTTTGTCCTAATGTGTTAAGACATGTATGAGATCCCCTTTAAATCTAGTTACCACATTATCACATAGAATAAGGTAAACAAAACTGTGTCATATTTATTGGGGAACAAATTGGTGAAAGCTTCTGAAGTATTCCTCTCTTTGTATTAAAGAGAGTAGAGGCATTGCGAATTTAAGTGAACGTTTATCTTGCAGTGTTTAACTTTAAACACTGCTTCTCTTCTAAGCAGAACCTAAGTTCTGACAAAAGCAGAAACAATTTTTATTCTTGTTCACTTTAAATTACTTATGGCTTAAAATACTTGAAGAGTTTGTTTTTTTCTTAAAATCTGGTCACTCCAGCTCCATTTTGTGTCTGGTTTAAAACAGATTTCTCTTAACAGAGTCTACAGTGACAAGCAAGGTAAGTATATTAAGGGAAAGAAACATTTGTGCTTGCTTGGGGGCTTTTTGTCATGGGGATCAGTGCCCACTTTTCCTTGTTTTTCTTTTTTTGGTTGATGTTTTTTGTTTTTCCCTTAACATTAGTTAATGTCTACTTCAATTAAAAAGTAAAGCATTTTAAAATACATAGTAGACAGAACAGTTTTTGTTTCTTCAAAATGAGTGATTTTTCTCAACTAAAGATGAAAGCAAAGTATGTAGAAATATTTTGATATTTTTACATGAATTTCCCCTTGTTTTTTTATGTCTTAATTTTCTTTGCTACGTTTACCATAGGTTGCACAAGAACTTTTACTCTCTTGTAATTGTGCCTCAGACTTCTTGAAAGTCCACCTTCTAAATTGCCCAGATGATCTTCTAGATTCTACATGTTACCGTTGGTTTATTCTTGTGCTTTCTGTATTTAAAACTTTGGCTGTACTAAATAAATGCAAGGTTATAAATTTAGCTAATAGTAGATTACAGACAACTCAAATGATTATGATTTCATTTGGTTTGACTAAGCTGTAATAGTTCATTTCATAAGGAAATGATGCTGTAGACAAATGTAAATAAAACCTGTGAGTCAAGCATCAAGTGGTGTTTGTTAGAAATAAATTAGAATTTTTAAGCTCTGGTTTAATGTTTATTTTTAATCTAATTACAGTCTTGTTACTTTTGACTTTACTTTTAGACTCTTCACTTTCACCTATCCTTTATATGTTGTATTTATATATAAAAATGCTTTCTTTAAAGTACTCTAAAACCGTGATCATTATAGCCTTATTTTGGACCTTTTTTAATGGAGAGTGCACAAATTATATGACTGTTCCATCAAACAACAGTACATTTTTTTCACATGGTAAAATAGTACTTCAAATATGCTTTATGAATTAAAGCTTATAGCATTCAATAGCTGTCCATTTTAACTGCTACGTTTTCTTAAATTTTCATTTGGAATCTTATCTAAATAATACTGAATAATACCTTGTAATAAATACCTAAATTCAGGGCAAACTGTCTACAAAAGACCTGCCTGTAGGCACAATTATGAACGTAAAAACAAGTCTATTCTCCATGGTATCAATTTCATGTTTATAGCCAGTGTAATGTTGGTACATTAGTAGGGAGTTTTTTCCACTCTGCTTCCTCTTTTTAACCTAATAGTTAAAAAAAATTTTAATAGAAATAACCTTTTAGTTTACCTGATCTGTAGATATTTACTTTCTACTTTTAGAAAAGAGGGTGATGGTTTAAAAGTTTACAGTATATAATAAATGGCTTGCAGGCATTATCTAATTGATTCTGTTGTCTTTGCATACTGGTGTATATCTATTTTAGGGAAAGAATGGTTCAGCTTAAGGAAGTTAAAAACTTGCCTAAGGAAGCTATGGAGTGGCTAAACGTGAATTTATCACAAGCCTGGTAGCATATTTCATTATTACCTTTTAAGATCACCAAATAACCTGTTCCAAAGATAAATGTTAAGTCAAGCTGGTCAGATTTTTTTTCACCTCGTTATTTGATAAAAGGGTATTCAGTCATTTGTATTGGTAGATAGGGAGACAACATACTAATTTGGAATAACATTAGATTTTCAGAAAAGTTCCAAGGCTTATACAGTTTCAATTACCCATCAACAGTGTTCATCATTGTTAGCATTTTTTGTCAAAACAAAGAGACTAACATAGGTATGTTGCTATCAATTATAACCCAGTTTTTTATTTAAATTGCACCATTTTTTCATTACTCTGTACCAGACCTAATCTAGTTCAAAATATACTTAATTTTCGTGTCTCACCTGTGGTCTAATCATTATTCTTTCTTTGCTTTTGATGAATGGCAATATTGAAGAGTTCAGGCTGTATAGGTTTCATGTAGCATATGCCCCATTAGTTTAGTTTTTCTCATGATTTGACTCTAGTTATGGGTGTTTGAAAAATACACCATAGAGGAAAAACTTGCCTTTCTGACCACATTTTATTGTATGTATGATAATTAATTTTTAAAACATCTCACAAAATACATTTATTTTCTTCATTACCACAGTGTTAGTTCCGAATTACAGTATTTACAGATTCCCACAGTAACCTCTTCACTCAAGTCAGTACATGATAATCTATATGCCATCACAGGATTTAGCCTTCATCACTTGGTTATGGTAGGATTTGCTCAGATTTATCCCTGTAGTTAATATCTTTCCCTTAACCTACTCTGTTCTTTGATATCAGAAGGTTGTAGCATAAGAAAAATCAAATAATCAGGTAAGTTCTCAAAAACTTAGTGGGTGATCTAAAATACAATAGATCTAACATTCAAGGAAGTATGAAGACCTTGCTGGTAAACTCGAGATAGTGGAAGAAACATTCATAAGATAACTTCTTATGTAACAAAAGTCTGATAAAATGGTAAAGATCAGTCCTACCTGAATGAAAAGGCCAAAACTTAGATTTGACTTGAGCTGTCTAAAAGAATAAATTTATAGATGAATAACGTGAACTTATTTTCAGAGATTTAAGGTTCAGTTGAGTTTTTGAGGGACCAAAAATACTGTGGTTGGGCCCTCCCTGGTGGCGCAGTGGGTTAAAGCACAGCACTAAGAAGCTTAGGCCACTTCTGCATGAGTTCGATCCCTGCCTGCCCCTGAGGTGACCCACATGGCGTGGCAGACCTCTCCTGACCCTCCCACTGCTCCCCTCAGCAGTGTACTTGGTAGCTCTACCTGCTCTGCCCCCGCTCTGTCTCTGGTGAATCCTCTCACCCTCCGTATCTCTGGCCTGTACCCCAGGTCTGTATGAATAAATAAAATCTTTTTAAAAAAAATTAAAAAAATACTGTGATTGTGGAAAAACTTGGAGAATAAAATAACTTCACAATAATGCTGTCCATATTAAAATGAATATTGAACAGTGACTGAAAATGAATTAAGTTTATATTGGATTCAACAGAGTTTTTTGTCTCCCCCAGAGTGAAACAAAAACATATGTGGCCTTACTAGGTTAAACAGGCTGAGAACTTCCAGTGAGAAAGTACTATGAAGTTGGCTTGAATAGGTGTGGTCCAGGGGTAGATTAGCAAATGGTACTTGATTTCTATATTCCCCTCCAGTGAAAACACTGATTTTTTTTTCTTTTAAGGTTTTATTTATGCATACAGAACTGTGGTACAGGCCAGAGATGCAGGGGCGAGGAGAGAATTCACCAAGACAGAGTGGGTAGCAGAACAGGTAGATCAATAAAGTACACTGCTGAGGGGAGCAGTGGGGGGTCAGGAGAGGTCTGGGATGGTGTCATGTGGATGGATCACTTTCGGGGCCTGGGATTGAACTCGCACTGAGGCAGCAAGGGTCAGTTTTGCGGTGCTACTCCAACCTGCTGCACCACCAGAGAGGGCCCTGATGTGATTTTCTACTTCATGCTAGCTCTTGGACCCTGAGTAGTTCTTTGTGCCTTCCATTAATTGTTCAGCGAATACTGACTTGTTTTGACCCTCCTTCCCCATGTCTTCATATATTTCACATATACTGATGCTTAAAGCTTATTGCCTACCTACTCCCGATAGTAGCAGTAGCTATATTTCTATTGTGTATTTCCCCTTAAATGCCAGTTTCACAAGATAGAACAGTTATCAAACAAGTCAAGAAAATAATGTTAGGGCATAAGCACTAAAAACATGGTTTACTTAAGTGATCTAGTGACTAGAGGATAATGTTTACACTGAAATTGGTAAAAATTATGTGTAGCTTCCAGAAGCCATGCAAAACCAGGAAATAGTGCAGTAGCTTTAAAAGTATACAGGGCTCTCACTAGTGGTGTAATGGGTTTAAAGCGTCACATTATGAAGCTCCTCAAAAAGCACTGCAGCACAAATTCAGTCCCTGGTCAGGGAGCTGACCCACATGGCGAGGCAGACCGCTCCTGACCCTCCTGCTCCCCTCAGCAGTGTACTTTGTCAATCTGCCTGTTCTGGTCTCCACTGTGTCTCTGGTGAATCCCTTCATACACCACACCTTTGACCTGTACCCCTGTTCTGTAAGCATAAATAAAATCTTTAAATAAAACTAGTGTATATAGAAAACACCAGCCTGGTTTTCTATATTCTGTATAAGAATACTGATGAATTGCAAACTTTTGATTACTCAATTCTGTTTCTCGTATTAAAGGGCCACTGGAGTATATTATGAGATAACAATATGTACAGCACACAGGTTAAGAAAACTGGATGTTATTACAGGGTTAGACATGAAGTGTTCTGTGTTTTAAAGGTAGTCTCAGATAAATCCCAAGTAACTGCTGAATATGATAGACACATGGAAAATACTAGAACTATAAATCCAGGAGAAAGCAGAAAAAGGAAACAAAAAGCTAATAAAAAGTTGTAGGTCTAAACCCCACCATACTGGTGATTTACATTAATATTACCAGTTATAAGGCAGTGGTTGTCACTGGATAAATGAAGATTGCTCTACAAAAAAACACTAAACTTTGTTGGTGGTGGCATAACATTTTAAAAATACAGTAGTTTGTTTTTATATCATTTTGTGCCTTTTTCCATCTCAGTTGTAATCCCTGTAGGTTTCCCATCACCAAATCACTCATGTGCAATCACCATAGTCCAGTGCACTTCTTTCCCGGCACTGTTTTTGATCCCATCCCCCATTCCACCCCTGTAAAATGTCTCTGGTATATAATTGTTCATTTTTATTTTCTTGCCTGGTCCTTTATACTCCTGCTATGAGTGAAACCATCTGGTATTTTTCCTTTTCTTTCTGGCTTATTTCACTAAGCCTGATCTGTACCAGCTTCATCCATGTCGCTGCAAAAGGCATGAAAAAAACACTAAACTTTGTTTTTTTTTAAATTTTATAACAGTTTATTTTTACATCATTTTGTACATTTTTTTTTTACCATCTCAGTTGTAATCCCCACGGGTTTCCCATCACCATGTCACCCGTGTGCCATCACCATAATCCCGTGCACTTCCCTCCCCACCCACCACCCCCGTTTTTGAACCCATTCCCCACTCCACCTCCGCAAAATGTTTCTGGTATATAGTTGTTCATTATTTTTGTTATTTTCTCGCCTGGTCCATTATACTCCTGCTATGAGTGAAACCATCTGGTATTTTTCTTTCTCTTTCTGGCTTATCTCATAAGCATGATCTTTTCCAGCTCCATCCAAGTTGCTGCAAAAGACGTGTTTCTCTTTTGGTTGCTGAGTAGTATTCCATTGTATATATGTACCACATCTTTTTAATCCAGTCATCTACTTTTGGGCATTGGGCTGCTTCCATGTTTTTCCTATTGTAAATAAAGCAGCAATAAACATCGGGGTGCAGGTGTCTTTTTGAATCAGTGTTTTTGTGTCTTTTGGGTAGATACCTAGGAGTGGGATTGCTGGGTCGTAGGGCAGCTCCATGTTTAGCAGTTTGAGGAATCTCCAAACAGTTTTCCATAGTGGTTGTACTAGTTTGCATTCCCACCAACAGTGCAGGAGAGTTCCTTTTTCTCCACATCCTCACCAACATTTGTTGTTACTAGTTGTTTGAAGATGTGCCATTCTCACTGGGGTGAGGTGGTATCTCATTGTGGT